GTCAACAATACAATGATACATACATATATATGTATATATATATATATGTATGACGCGTCGTCGTGACGCACACCCTCCCTTCTTATTCGGGGGCTCGAGCCATGCTTGATGCAATCTCTCCTGTCGTGCTTCAGGAGGATTATTGCCTACCCAGGTAAGCAGGAGATCCAGATTCGATTCCTAGCTGAGATAATATTTTTTTCGCAAAATAATTGCGAGTTTTTCACGATTGGTTCGTGGTCGGGTCCCGTCGTGACGCACACCCTTCCTTTTTATTTCATTTAAAAATACATACAAAAAGAAATGTTTAACAATCTATGAAAATGTCACTTTAAAAAATACACAAAAGAAATGTTTAACAATTCAAGAAATAATTTTATATCCCTCTCCGGATTACCCGCAGGAGGGGAACTTCATCCACATTCCGCGGGATTAACTCGCAGAGGGGACTTCATCTTCTGGATAATTTTCCTCTTCCTCCTCCTCCTCCTCCTCATTCTCCGAAGTCAATGAACTAATAAATTCGTATAATTCTACTGACCATGGCAGTTACACAATATCAACGAGAGATTGTTGTGAACGTAATAAATATACTGTTCCTCCACATTTATCACAAAAATATCGTCGTTGTACTCTGCATGGATAATACCGGTTGCTAATACCATTGCGAAGACATTTCAATAAAATTTCTTCACGCAAAAGCAATTTTTTTCGCGCACCGGCGATTCTTCGCGCACAAAATTATTGCCAAGGTGATGCCATTGCGAAGACATTTCAATGACTGCCAATATGCCGCTACAAGACTCATTGCATGAAATTGAACGTGATGATAAATATATGAGAACATAGGGGCCGCCGCTTTTTTTTCTAGAAAGAGCCACGAAAGATGGCTTTTTTCTAGAAATCGGCGTACTTGTCGCGGCGATTAAGAGAAGCGCCAATAATCCGGCTGTTATAAACAAATTGCGATTCGGGAAGACCTATGATGATGTTCCGATTTAGACTGATGATTGAACGTATCGCAGCATG